TTGTTAAAAATGACCAAGCGATCAGGGCTAGGCTCTGTTATGCAATATGTCCACTTAAAATCAGATTTCTAAGCCTATTAATGAAGAAAGCTGGGCTCTAAGGGCTTGGGACTCAGACTAGGTGAAGTTTGAATGAGAGAAAAGGGAGAGAAGGGTCATGTGTAGGTTATTGCCAGGCCGGGTGATGCACTATAGCACACGAGTGTTATGGGAAAAGTGGCGGGGAAGCAGAGGTGCTAAAGGTAAACTTTCCCTGGGCCACAGAATGGTAGTAACTAGCTGCATTTACACTTGGCTACTCACTGTTGGTCTGGAGAAAAATCTCGCCAGATGCTTAACAAGCCTAGAATGATTAATTTTTTTTTAGTCTAAACCCATTTTACTCTAAATCCCGCCTTGACCAAACTTCTCATCCCCAATCACAAAGCTCAGTAGTTGGAAGAGAAATCAGAAAAGCACTAAATCATATAATTGCAACCAACACTCCAGAGCCCAGCCAACAGAAGGTTAGCGATGATTAAATCTCATTCTTCCAAATGCGAGAAGCAGCTTTGGTACTAGTTTGATCCTCAGTGGACCCTTTTAAGTTCTCTGGGCCAGAGTTGTCCAAACCTATGTTATTCAACTACCCATACTACTGTTTTAGGGATTCCAGTGAGTCACACTGACCATGTTATTTACTTAGTTGTTTTATATCCCTATGCCTCCTGCACTGTTTACTTAATATTTTCTTTAAATTACCTTTAGAATGTATTTCAAATGGAAACTTTGTATCAGTATCATAAATAGAAAAAAGTCACTTTTCATAGATAGAAGGTAACCATAAAAATAAAATTAACTGAAAGCAAAACAATGCTAATTCCAGTTAGCTCCAACTACAAATCAAAGCCCCCAATCTAAAGCCTGATCTTTCTTGTCAAAAAAGGGGTAGTAGCAAGTTTAGGGAATTGTTAATGATAAAGCATCAAATGGAGACTTCTTCCTTGACGTAACCAAGAAGACTGAATAAGAAATGAAAAGGGCGTAACTTTCTGCCACAGGATTCTTGAAAGCCATGCTGCCCCTGGGCCACCTAAATCACCTTCTGTAAGGTGCCGCATGCCCTACTTGGAGGCAGTAGTGCTGGAGGCTACGATGCATTTGAGGAATAAATAATGGACTATGAAGAGGATTGTTGATAAACCCTGGGATTTATAAAATTCCATTTAGGATTGTTACGAAGTGTGGACAATATATTCAGAATTCTTTATAGACCTTATGAATCCTACTGGGCTATTATTTCTCAGACTAAAGCTTGCTTCTACAAATAGCTTGTACATTGATTAAAATATATTCAACATTTACTGTACATTTCAGTTTAAATTATTCATTTGATCTCTTATTTAAATTGTTTCTACATCTTCCCCTTGTCTGTAATGAGCATATCTTGACTAAATGTAATAATGTGATAATATCTCACTTGAAAGATTCCACTAAATATATAAGCATACTACAGTTCTGGCATTTCCAATCAATTGGGAACATCTTTGTGTATATTGACCATTTCATCTATTTTCTGAGTGCTCACAAGCACTCTGCAGCAGGGGGTTTTGTTCTGTTCCTGATTTATTCTTGTACCCTAATGACAATGGTCAGGATTTACATTTTATATTTATGCTACACAGCTCTCTTGGCAGACCCGTACATGGCTAATCTCCTCACGTATCCTGCAGTCTTCTTGGAAATCAGGTTTTATGGTATTGTTACTTTTGGTCAGAAACAAGAGGAGCAAGAGTGGCTATTAATTCTCAGTATTGCTTACCCTAAAACAGAAAGCTCTTGTTTACTTTGCTGTGGGAAGGTGAGGGGTGAGGGGAGACAAGCCAGATCTAAAAATAAACTGGATTTTCTTTCTCATTCATATGTAACTAGAACCCCTTTGTAACTACTTATTACCACCTCAATAGTTATAGGGAGAATAAATAATACATATTTTTTAAATGTGGCAAAACCAAGAAAGAAGCAGCCAAGGCTGCATCTCATTTATCAACTTGGTGATTAAAGGGCTGGCTCTCGAGGCTCCAGACATCTAGGGACCCAGAGATAAAACAGAGCAGTTGGCTGTTTTTACTAATGAATCTAGGACTTGAAAGATATCAGGCAATTTTAAAGAAAAGCAGCAAGGACAAGAGACATTAGACAAGGCCAGTAGGGTAATGAAGGGCAAGGCCAGCTACTGAGAGAGAAAATTACTTCATTTTCTGTGATAATGCTCCTGCGTGCTTTGCCGGTCTCTTCTCACGCTTTGTTAGTACGGCTATATATACATACAGCATCTGAATGCTACTCACAGTGTAGAAGGAAAGAGCCTTGGAACATTCCGCGGAGGGGCAGAGAGAGGGCTTGGGTCTATTATTTGGAAAGGGGAGGCTAAGAACAATGGTAGCAGAAGGGGGTTAGATCGCAAGGCTGGGAACGGTGCTTTAACAGATGGGAGGGACGCACAGGATTAAATCAAGACGAAATACACAGCAAGGAAAAGAAAGAAAAAGGCAAGCAAACATACTCTGGAAATACAGCATTGTTTTGGAGGATGAGGTGGGACAGAGACCAGCCCAGTGGTGCTCAGCATATCTGCAGAGCAGAGCTGTGGGCTCTATAATTTGGTCTTTATTCTGCAGCCAAAATAAAAAGGGCATCTGACACTTGATTCCTCCTCAGCTAGCTAGTCAGTGGACACATTTTCTGCTTAGCGGGGGAAAATGTGCGGTATTTTAGAAACAATTCCAGAGTATATTTAGCTCCTAAAGCTGGCGCACACAAATGTCACATTCCCATGAGACAATTGACCCAGTGAAAAGAGCGCCCGCCAGAAGCCCTCAGAAAACCCACGGAACTGTCGCATCCCAGGAGATGCTGCACACATGGATGTGACATCATTAGGGCATCCACGTCAGGGAATGAAAAGAAAAGAAGCGAGGGCATCACAGATTGGGTTGAGTTAAGGTACGTCATAATGAATCAGAAAAGAAACAAGACTTTTCCGACAGAAGAACACCATCACCAAGTCATACCACACAGTGCTGGGCAAAACAAAAGATCAAAATAAATCATGACCATTAAAAAGAATTCCGAGCAAAGTGGAAATTAAAATAATAAAAATCATGGTAAAAGAAACATTAAGCTACATCTTTTTAAAATTTTTGCATAACACCTCATTGTCATTGCCCCATCAAATATACCTAATTGTCAAAAATCAAACTTAAATTCGACAGGGCAAGGCAAGGAGTTCATAGCACAAGAACAGTGATCACGTAAAACACCCATGCAGTCACCTCTGCCACCATTGTTTGACAATTTGTAGACTGCTTCCAGCTTTGTCAATATTCATAATAAGACCCAGGAGAATGAACAACGCCGAATTTTAAAATGATGTCAAAGTGTTAATTGGACTCTTTGATAACCTCCATCCCTTGAGGGAGTTAACGATTGGAGAAAATTAGCCACCCGTCTCAGGGAAGTAAAGAGAGAATGATTGTAACCAACAGCTAGATATTTGGTTGACATATTTAATGCTTTACTGGAAAGGCTGTCTGGTTTTTCAGCAAGTCGCAGTGGGCAAACACAACGTGATTCTACTGAGTTGTGTCTTCTTGAGAACTCGGCCAAGACTAACACGTCTGCGATGTGGAGCCACACAGAACAGATAATGGTGTGTGCTAGGGACGGTGGCCTGTTGTGATAGTTCTGTACCATCCCAGATTGGCCTGGAGCTTTCTCGGGTTGGTAAGAGCAATGATCCCTCTGATTTAAAGAGGCTGCTGAGACAAAAACTGCTTCTAAGTAAAGATTTGGGGCATATTTATAAGTTACAGAAGAATAAATCGATTGAGGGGACAGGCTCAAGAACAAGTTAAAGGACCACATCTTCACAGTTTGGCTTGGCATGGAGAGCATGGAGTGGCGTGTATGGCACTCTCAGGAGATGATATGCAAAAAAAGAGAATGGAAATGTAGCCTGTGAGTCCCCCTAGAAAACATTCCCTAAGAGTAAAGATGGAGATAACATCTACAGAGAAGCCTGAGGGAGGACATGGTACTGATGGTCTTCCAAAGGCCACTGTGGCTGGTATCCCCTTAAGACTCAAACCCCTGCTTGGATGAAACTCTTGAAAACATATAGAAGTAAACAATTCTGAATGGGGGGAAAACAGCTCTCAACATCACTGGGCTTTTCAGTCTCTGATTTACAAGACTGTTTTTTGGACAAGTAAAGGCCTCTTTGGTTGCAGCTGCAGCTAAAGTAGGATGTGTTTGTTACCAGAGCAGCAAATGGCAAAAGAGATGACATTTCCTGTCTCTAGTTGAGCAAAGAGAGCAAGTGAGAATTTAGGACAGTTCACAGTAGAGTCCCTCTCATTTAGTGCAGCTTCCTTTTCATTTTCACTACATAACAATCCTGCTTGATTAAATAACATATTTTTGTTTATCTGTTGTCCTCTAAAGCAAGTACAGTATGTCTCAGGACCACAGGTCTATTGAAATTCAGCACTATGGGAGACAGAGATGCTACCAGCCGGAAAAGACTCTGCCCTGCTATGTTTCCATTTGCTGATGAAACGGGCCTTCAGTTCCATTACACGCACTTGCCAAAGCCTACACTGCATCCCATCCCATTAATGGTGGGAAAAGAGGACCCCGAACATCACAGAATGAACTAAGAGGAGTGGAAAGGCATCCCAGGAGCCAGCATCGACTTTGGGCCAAGCCACACCTCTTTTGTGTGGAGGAAATTTAGAGGCTGTGTTATTTGTTTTGTGTGGTTTCTCCTTGGTTGGGCAATAATTTAGGATCAAGCCCAGCACAGAGGATTGGATTGCAGTCTTTTGGGAGATGCTTTCAATCCTAGTGTGCTGGAGATTCCTTAAATGTTGCTATGATTCAGCTGGAAGCAGTTACACAGTCCTCCCTACTTTTCCCTCCCTCTCCCCCCAGAGGAAGAGGCAATTCCAAGGCCTTACCCTTCTTGTCTTGGTGATTATGGGAAGACACTGCCCCCAAAGAGTCTGTGCTGTCAGGTGAATCGAGCAAATCCTTCCAGTCCAGCATTCCTCCCCTAGACTCATACCCCTCTTGAGCCGCCGAATCTGACGTGGTGGTGCTGGGCAAGAGGGAACTGGAGTGCCCTGTTTTCATCACAAATACAGTTAGGGAAAACATCACCAGAGATACCCACATTTGCTCAGAGGCCAGGAGGTGGGACACCCAAGTTGGCTGTAAGACTGAAAGGAGACTGCCATGAAAACCAGGCTGGGGGTGGGGTTCAACCGCAGACCCCCTTGAACTTGTAGTTAGAGGATGAAGGGCCAGGTCCTGTCTCTGCTTCTTGCTGGGTGAGCCTTGGGGAATTATTTCACCCCTCTGGGCCTTGGCTGTCCTTGTGCACAAAATAGGGATGGTGCCGCTTACCTCCCAGTGTTGAAAGGATAAAGTGACCTAATGGTGAAAGTACCTAGCCGTGTCTGACACATAATGGGTGCTCAAGAAATACTAGCGTCCTGGTATTCCCATAGCAGCACTAACAGCAGAATGTGTCCACTCTGGGGACAGATTGTAACTGCTGAGGGAGGTTTGTGGTAATGGATGAGCCTTTCCCCCATCACAAACAGCTCGGCTGTCCTGAGCCTTCCTCATGGTGGGTGTGTCTTGTTTTCAGCCTCAGCTCAACTTTATGGGCATTCCTTTTGCTGGGAGAAGCAACTGCTTTCCAAAGGGATCTTCTCCCACCTCCTTTCACTGGAATGGGAGCCTCAACTTGTTCCATGGCTGTGCCTTTTGCATCTTTTTCCAACACAGTTTCATGGTTCCATGGCTCATGCTTGTGAGAGGTTTTTGAGGCCACACCAACTGATATTATCAGAGTAGATGGGGATAGGTTTTTGAGATCTATAGTATCCTACAATAGGATAATGTCAGAAGAAGAATGGCTAGGTTGGGAGGTATGGCAGAAATTGGACATTTCCCTAAGTGTTCCTTCCTTCATTCCACAAGGTTAAGTGCAGATCATATCAGGTACTTTGATCTAAACTGTCACAATGATTTAGAGAAGCCCCACTACCTGTTCTCTCTGGTAGAAATAAAATATAACTGCTCTGTGATTTTCGAGTAGAGTCTTTGGCTTATTAAACCATCTTACCTATAGCAGCCTTTTGAGTAATTTTTAGAAAGACATTAGGGCAACTACTGTGGATGTGTAATTGGTGCCTTTGGTAGAAAGTAGGACAGATTCACAGGTGGCTTCAGCCTTGGGCTGTGATCACCATGTCTGTGATGAGGAAAATACTGGCCACCAGAAATAAAGAGTACCATGATCAATGCATTGCATTGTTCTTTTTTACAATTAGTATTGGAAGTGGGATTCCTAGGAGACTCTAATACTGCAAATTACAGAATATGTACATCAGGGAAAAGCAAGTCGGCCACATGGCTCATCTGTGCTATAATGATTTCCATGGAAGCACCACACTTAGATGCTACCACAAAGCTCTGGTAACACTGAAGGGGCTGCGTTCTGTGTATAACTTGTTTGGCTCCCACACAGCTTCAAACATCCGTTTTGTTGCCAAAGTCTGGTTTATATCCAAATGCTAAAAACATGTTTGTTTAAAACTCAAGGATGTTTGCATGTAGACAAAACTTTTGTTTTTACATTTCTAGGTTTCACGTCTCATCTCATAATACTGATAAGAGAACAGGGGTAGGATAATTAATTTGAAATTGGAAATACAAAATTACTTTTACTATTTTCTTGCTTATACTGAGGTCTCAAATATAGCCTCTATTTTCTACTTTTGAATTCAACGCTGCTTTCATGAAGTCTATGGTCAGCCTAAGAGAGAATTCAGCACCCAGCATGAGCAATTAGAAATAGCTTTGTGGGGAATGAGAATGGTGGGGGGAAAAGCCTGTCCTCCAAGTAGCAAAAAAAATTTTTTCACCTGGATTGATATGTATTTTGTGCACTTTCAATTTAACTGTGTTCAAGGGGCAATTTTATGATAATGCCATAAGTATGGTTTAGGGAAAACATTTCTTAATACCGTAATCTGGGAGAAATATATACCTAAGGGACACATTCTCTGTAGAAAGATTTCCTGGACCATATGCTGCAAATACATGGAAAACTCATTGGTAATGGAAAGCTATGGCTATAAGAGGAAATTAATGTGAACCAGATGGTAGTTAGGTAGGAAAATGTTTTACACAAATGTGAGAAATCAGGTCCTTCCTACTGCTGAAGTGTTAGTCTAATACCCATCACATCTCCGTTTTCTTTATGTAGATCTAGAGAAATCATGCATCTGATGTACTCAAAAGGGAAAAAAAATAGAACAGCATGAGGTTTGTAATCTCTTAAACTTATGCTTGAGGGTAGGCAACACGTGTCACTGGTGAATAAAATAGTCGAAGAAAGCAATACCTGATTTTCAAAAGTTTTAGAACCACCATGTAAAAGCACCATTTAGCAGCAGTCCTTAGTTTGAAATCAAAGAGGTGTGGTATGACTATTACCTCTCCAAAGTTAAAAAAAAGTTAAAAGGAAATCACTTTATTCCTTCTTAGAATCTGGTTCTACAGGCTATATTACTTTTGAGCATTCACTAAGAGACTTTGTGAACAAAATAATGCTACAAAAAGAGGCAATCATTTGTGGATTTATTACCTGTCAGCAGAATTCGAACATACAATTTTGTCTTGTTAATCCAATTAGGGAGGTCATATTTTAATCAATGGAGATTATGATGTATTATTCTTATAATATCCAAAGAGAGAGGTTTTAAAACTTAACTTTCATATGCATCACATTGTTTCTCTATATCTACAAATCTGTGTGATTCTAGATGTTAGAGACCATTCAAACTACTCTAACCTATTAACAATTATTGGAGCCAATTAGATAGACAAAAGAGACACTGTATCAATATAAGAGAGGAACAGAGAAGGAAAATAATCAGGGTCCAATTCACTAAAAAGGGGTTCTTGCTTACGTAACTGGTGGTGTGCCAAGCGTTTCAGTGGTTGATTGAAGTGATGCCCTTTTCTGAGTGAAGCTGTGTGGTTTACCCTAGGAGCCTGCACTCAGCCAGTGAACTGTTTATGTAAACATTCAAGTACACATTTAGAAACAGCGGGTGTACTGTGGACTTTAGGGTTGGCTTTCTAGTCTGTATCCATGCTCATAAAAATAGCAATTTGGTCTTTCCTTTGGTGATGCAAATACAATAACTAGTCCAGTCCTGGCATATCGTAGGCACTCAGCAAATATTAGCCGAATGGATTAATTAAATCTATTCTATGTTTATTCCAAAAATAAGCATATTTTTGATAGCTTGTAAAAAAGAAAGTCTGCTCTATTTTTCTAAGTACTCTCCAGACCAGCCTCGTTTTGATGGTCAGTGAATCATCTAACCACTTCATACTGGATAGATTTAGCACTGAAATGGACAGGGTCATTAGTTAAAAGGGATATTCAAACTCTTTCTTAGTATCATCATGGAAAACAATGATCACAAGCTGAACGTGAGGGGGCGTGGTCCTTTAAAGTGTTACTATGGAGGAATAAGTTCCTTTCCTTTTATAAGGGAAATAAGAGATCCATAGATTGGCATATGATTTTTGTTCATAAAGAGCATCCCATGGTTTAATTGTTCTATGTATATGAGAAATATCCTGGAAGTTAAAATTGGTCTTAGTACAAATTGATGAATGCTGGGAGGTTGCCTGTTCAATTAGATTTAAGACCTGAATTTCTCAATACCTGCTAAAGAATATTCAATTATAGGAAATGATTGCAAAGTATGATACTGGAGAAGAGCAGATGCTAAGTGGGTTCTCTTTCTGAAGGGCAAGCTAAGCTCAATGACATTAGTCTCCTGAGAAATTTTTCTTCCAGTTGTTGGTGTTTAATATCCTGGCTTGAATCACAGATGAGAGAATGTTAAAGGTGGATGAATTCTGTGGGCTCATCCCCTCCACACTGCCTCACTTCACATGGGGGACAATCAGGAGAAACCAGGCATCATCTTCCATATCTGCACAGCTCCTTTTTATAAGATAGTCTTTGGGACTGTCATAGAAGCTTTTTTTTAATGTTAATTAGATGCAGGGAATGAGGGTTTATATAGAGCTATTAAACATATTTGTAGCCATCTGAACTATTTCTTTGAATCCTAAATCCACCTTGCTTTCTTTTCTTCTTTATTTTTTTCACCTTCCTTTATTACCTACCTCTTCATTTAAAGACAGTGCTAGAACTGTTACATATCTTAAACACAAAAACTATAAATAAAATGTCTACGCATCAGTGAAACTCATAGTTCTCATTATAACGCAGAAGCTTAAATTTGCCATCACATGTTTTTCATATTGTATTTTTAAAAACACATGAATAGCTTATCCTAATAAACATTTGGGGGAACTTTCAGAAATGGAAATTGAATGTTTCAACTGCATTTCAACTTTTCTTATGAAGAAGAGCTCAGAATATTCTGTTTATAGACTTAATTGCTTTGTTTAATATAGTGTCTGTGTATTTAAGAGCGGGAACAATGGATAAATCCTGTTTGCACATCATTTCTATTGTGTCACTCTTGTGTCACACATTTTGCAGAAATCGCAAAGACAATATATCTAAATATTCAGTCTTTATGAACTTAAGTTTTGACGGCTAATTTCATGCTATATTGGAAAGCTTGGCCTACTAAGGACTTGGTATCTTCACCCTGTATAGATTTTCGCCTGCAGAAGGTATTGTTCTGAAAGTCAGCATTTTGGGAATGGTACTTTGGGAAAGAGCTATTGCCTATTAGTTATAAGCACTGTTCTTTTATCTTGGATATACTTATGTCCAAAAGCAATTTCTTCTCCCTCATGAAATCATTAAATATGTTCACCAAATTCCCTAAGGTTAGCATATTTCATGTTATATGGATTAAAATGTAGGACTTGTCTCGCATCAATTGTCTCATATAGGCAGAGTGATTTTTGAAGTATAATGAAATCTATAAGTAATTTTAGTGAATTGGGGGCCCTGAAGTAACAAAGAATCTGGTTCATGATGTTTAGGAATGAAAACTAAAAACTATCACAGGATGAATGACTTGAAGAATTAAAAAGAAATCCATAAACTGACCATATACTGTGTTGTAAGACATTTCATGATCTGGTAGAGGAGTTGAAATGTCTATAAAAAAATAATGAAGATAAGAAATAATTAAAAAAGAAACCTAAGGTTTGAAAGTACTGAAGAGGATTAGTGAAACAGGATTTCCCAAATAGATTTGCATCAATATTAAATTGTGAGTAATATCTTCCTTACCGTTCAGCGCCACAAAGGAATCTGAAAGACAAAAGGGTAGAGGAGGTTACTTAGTGTTTAATGCTCTGCTTAGTGTGAGTTGCGTAGTACATGGCAATGAACTAACACGGAACTCGGGTAACACACGATCCTCAACACTAAGGAAGTGCTTTTCCATTTCTGTTGGTGATATAAGATGCTTTATATGTGGTCCAGTTTCACACCTTCATAACTCTTCCCCAAGTGAGTTTCCTCAAAGTCACTGCTTTTGTTGCCAAGAGGCAGAGAAAAAGCAAGAGTTAGTAGAAAAAATGTTAACTGTGACTATATGTGATTCTGAGAAATTAAGCCCTGCTCTATACCGAGGGACACATCTGTGGCTAAAGTAAGTGACATCTGGACCACACTTACAAAGCACTTTTTTCTTTACATTCTCTCTCATTTCATCCTCACAACCATGCTGTGAGGAACTGTGCAATATTACAATGTTCTGAGCTCAGCAGGGGTTTTAGTTAGGTAATGAAAAACAAAAATAAAAATAATCACACTCACATAATAGGCAATGTACGTGTGTGTGTGTGTGTGTGTGTGTGTGTGTGTGTGTGTGTGTGTGTGTGTGTGNGTGTGTGTGTGTGTGTGTGTGTGTGTGTGTGTGTGTGTGTGTGTGGTGTGTCTGGGTCATTTCCCCTTAAAGTCTGTTAAAGAGTCATTGCGCACCAATTATCTAACTTGTCTGAATACCTATGTGTGAATAGGTATGTCTAACAGAAGTAGGTCATGTTTCAGCAGGAGCCCAGGGAGCAGAGCAGCCACTAAGAAAGGCAGCAGCAGGTCAGCCTCATCTGCTCTGAGGAGCCTCAGCAGGAATGGGATTCAAGGGTAGGGGACACACGAGCACACAGAGGCTTGACAGCGGAGATTAGAGAGTAAATCACTGGCTTGGGACCTGAGGGTCTCCCCTGTGCCAGACAGAGGCTTCCTTAGGTTCCTCGGACATAGGTGTGCTACGAGCCTGCTGTGGTTGTGGACGCTTTATAGAAATAGTAACAAGCACTTTCACATTTTCCATATATTTACCTATGCAATCCAAATTGACACCCCTATTTTTCTACAGATGCCTGCATACCACCAGATCATAAAAATGATGAAAATTATTCACTCAATTCGGCTAAGTTCACTCACATAGACACACATACAACACAAAACCTGTTTCCCTGAAAATGGAGCCCTAAGGCAATGTGGTTAAGATACAAGGATCAAACATCAAATTGTTTCACTGTACAAAAGTAACAGATCTTTTGGCAATGACACTGTCTCCTATGCTGATTTCTTAACTCATTAGATTTTGTGTGTGAAGACATAATAAGCTGTTGCCAATATAAAATATTTGGAAACAAAAAAATATACATGGCAAAGAATTTTGAGACAGGACTGTCTGTATCCCTCTTTCGTTGATTATATATGATCTCTAAAAAAGGCAGAAAGTAGAATGACACCATAGAGTCTGAAATTTCAATACTCAAGAGTCAAAGATTTAGAGTTATATCAATGATTTTCATTACAGAATCAAATATCAGAAGTGATACATTTTCATTTTTTTTTTAGGTGCCATTTTGAATGTGATCTTGAATTTCATCATATATAATATTTAAAACACTGCAAACAAATTTTCCAAGAGTATGGTATTATTCTCTAAATTAGCATTAATAAAGCATTTTCAGAATATTGATATTAATCAGATCACAAAACAACTGGGCAGAATTTTGACCAGGAATCTTTACATGAAGTTCTAACTAAAATGTTTACTATTTAATAGATTTTGAAATGAACTGAGATTAGCATAGTTTAATTGCTATAAGAAGGTTGTTTTGAGTCACCTTGCACTTAGTGGGTTATTTCTGAAATTTTTTTCTAAGGCAAATGGTAACAGACATGAATCTAATTTTTAAAAAACAATTACTTGTGTTAGTTGATATTGTCAAGAATAATAAAACAGGTTGTTACTTTGTGAGGGTGAAAAGGGTAACTATTGCATTGTTCTGTACACCTGAAACTAACAATAAAAATTAAAAAAAAAGAAAAAAAAAGAATAATAAAACAGTCAAAACAGTCCCATCCAATTAAAAAGCTAGAGTATAATGTTCAATCTTTTTATTATTTGGCTAAAAATTACAGTGTACTAACATTTTAAAAAACAACAGAACTGTGTTTTGTTTTGTTTTAGTGGAAATAACTGATATAACTTACTGCTCTGCTGTAATTCACATCTTCTAAAGTGAATTTGTTCCACAGCATTATAATAATGAAATAGGTGCCAGCATTTATAGCAACAGCATTGACAACAAAGTTGGCTTTAAAATACACTATTTTCTTTATTTGATATTTAGAAGGTGGTTTCTGTTATTTATGTATGTCTTAGTGCCAGCTGCACTCAGTGTCACATGCGAGATAATGTTTCTAGGCCATTCAATAAAAGCATCTTTACGCAAAGGTAAACATGGATGAAAGCTTTACTTACTGTGACAGTCTCCGAGGCCATCTGTATTGCCATGCTCTATGTCCTGTTCAAAAGTCAGGCTTTACAAAAAGGAGGTGGGAGAAAAACAGAAACAAACTCAATAATGTGAATCGTTATTCTGGAATGAGTCTTAAGTTTCACTAAAGCGTCTAGCACAGTTTGATAAATTGAGTGGCAGGTGCAAAAAATGTAAGTAGATAACAGCTTAAAACTTATCTCCAAAGTTTACAGAAATGAGTCTTATGTGAATCTCCAAAGGGAAGCCATGCTTTAAGCAGTTAATTCAGATATTACTCAGGAGTTAATTAGTTTGTGGATTATTTATATCCTTCTTTTACTCTGATTCCTTGAGCATTTCTTAAACATTTAAACCATTTAAATATCAAAATACAGTTACATAAGCAATATAGAAGTCTATAAATTAAAAAATAAGTCTTTTCCTCTCTACTTTCTCTTTCACCCTGCTTACCTTCCTAGACTTTTATCCATTCCTTTGCTTAGCAATAACTTATATAGAAAAGTGCTCAAAGGTACAGAAGGGTAAAGGGTATGAGGGGCCATGAAGACAGGACTTGGTGGTGCATTTTGCTGAGACCACTCAGGCATTTTGTTCACCATGCCCAGTTCTCATACAGGAAAAAATTTTACATTTAGAATTAGCCAGGTGGATTCAGTTTAGATGATCCCAATTTTGTTGGCAACATCCACAGCATCATAGTCAGGAGCCAGTTGAACATATGCCTTCTTCTCTCCATCAGGCCTGATCAGGGTGTTGACCTTGGCCACGTCAATGTCATAGAGCTCCTTCCCAGCCTGTTTGATCTGGCGCTTGTTGGCCTTGACATCCACAATGAACACAAGCGTGTTGTTGGCTTCTATCTTCTTCATGGCTGACTTGGTAGTTAGGGGGAACTTGATGGCATAGCAGTCAAGCCTGTTTCTCCTGGGAGTGCTCTTCCGAAGGATACTGCCTTCGGAGCCGCCTCAGTGTCTTGGGCCTTCCGGAAGGTGGGTGAGTGCAGATCTTCTTTTCTTGGAGGCTGCAGATGCCTTTCAGCTCTGCTTTCTTTGCCTTCAAAGCCTTCACTTTGGCTTCAGCTTTGGGAGGGGAGGGGCTTCCTTCTTCACTTTCGGTGCCATCTCTCTATTTTCATTTTTAAAATAAGCACACTGGAATCATTCAAAGGAGTATTGTCCTTTTGGGGGGCAACTTTGCACTTCCTCCCACAACATAATTGAAACTCCTATTTTGCAACTGCCTTCTGAGTTTATTTATGCAGCATATCAGAAAACTATTTTGTAAGTCACACCTTGATGTAGTAATCCACCATGTATATTTTCCAATGTTTTTGGCTGTTAAACAATCAAATTCATCCTCAAAGGATAAAGATTTCTGGTAGTAATGAGAGCCAGTATTCACCAGGACCTGAAGGCCACTTTCCAGGGAAAGTTTCACATGTTTTGAGTAGTTTGTGTATGTAGATGTTTTGAGAAATACGTATGTAGATCCTTAAGGGACAAATTTGGGAGTTCTCATTGTTGACTTAAAAATGATGTTTTAAAAATCAGTCTTGGGCCGGCTGAGTAGCGCGTTGGTTAAGAGCTGGCTTGGGACGCCAGAGGGCTCCGGTTTGGGTCCCACATATGAGGGCCAGTGACACTGCCCTCTACAGCTAAGATGCTGAACAACAGCTCAACCTGGAGCTGGGCTGCCGTGAGTCGCTGGCGACGNCCAGTGACACTGCCCTCTACAGCTAAGATGCTGAACAACAGCTCAACCTGGAGCTGGGCTGCCGTGAGTCGCTGGCGACGGCGTAGGCTGCAGCCACTGCTGCAGTGGGTTGCCATGGGCTACCGTGTGTAGCCAGCAGCCAGCGTGAGCAGCCAGCAGCCAGCGTTAGCAGCTGTCCAGAAGCCAGGGACTTATCTGCCTCGCCCAGGAAGAGTGCAATGATGGTGCCAACTTGGGCCAGTGAAGCAAATGTCCTCCACAACTAGACTGAAGAACAAAAGGACAGCAACTTGTCTGCTCCCCTTACCCCAATTCTCCAGCGCTGTTCCCATCCCCCAATTCTCCTATAAAAAAAAATCTTTAAAAAAAAAATCAGTCTTACTACCTTTGGTTATACTTTGAATATAGAAAGGACATAAATGATTTCTTAGCGTCCCTCACTGTGCTATGTGATCCTTTCTTCTCCTCACTTTAAGGGTTCCCATGAAAAGATATAAAGCTCTAACATTATAGTATGTCAATATTGCTACTTATAAAGCTGATCTAATAATATATAGTCAACCCTTTGCAGTAGTAAAATTTCCAGGTAAGACTTAATTATCATTAGCTCTGTTTATGGGAACACTTTCCCTCAAATTATGCAGGTTGGTGGTCATCAGATTTATGTCCTTTTATTTGTCTAGCTATTCAAAAATGGGAGAGGAAGAGGTTCAGAGTGATGTGGGAACGATTCTGTTCCCCCTTTGGAACTGGGGAAGTTGAAGGAATTGGCTAAGAAAGAACTGTGCTGCCATATGGCACCTTCCTTGAGTTGCTATAACCTGTCAGGGATATTCATTGAATATTTTTCCAAATGTTATTTTGGATTTCACATCCACTGAAATAAAAACATAAAAGAAAGCTTTTAACTAATGCCATCTGAGCATTTAAAGACATGGTAACAATTTTAAGCGCCAAATTCACAGGCATGGTAGACTGCCCTGCTCTAGCTGATCTTCTGGAAAAATGCCAAGAATTGACTACCTTACGAGTAATAGGGTTAGCTGTTCTTCTGCGCAGGAGAAAGGTTTATTGGATGTGTACAACATGCTTGCAGTACAAATGCATCACTTAACAAATGCTGTGCAATTTTTTCTCAGCCTTGCATAGTCAATTAGAGGAGTCAGTTTTGCTATGGCTGGACAAACCACATCACTAATCTAATTGGTTCCCAACTGCTCCTTTTCTCTGCTGTTCTCCAACTGTGATGATTAAGGCATGCACCTCCTTGTCCCTCTCTCCGGGGAACTCTCAGAAGCCCACTGTGTTCCTTTGTGTTTTTAATCAGCCTGAGGACAGATGATTAATCAATTGGAAATCTGCCACGTGTGATATTGGTGTGTTCTGTGAAATAGGAAAAGGCAGGAGAACGGCTGGCAGGCCCATTGGTGAGGTTTGCACAGGAGGCTGAGTGCAGTGGCATGCGCGAGCACAGTTAATCGTACATCTAGACTATAGAGCAACCAAAGACCACTTTACACTCTCCCACACCTCGGGCTCCTTACCTGCTGCTGGGTGACAGGTGGGCACAGGAACCTCCTTCCTTTATCCATCCGCAGTATGGGTCTCTGGAGGCAATACAGGTTCTGCAGGAAGAGGATGACCATGAGCTACCTAGGACTCTTTTCTAAGCACTGTGGACTTTCTAATTGAGGCAAAGTACATACTTTTTACACTTCCCATGTCGTTCACACCGGCCAAGGGGAACCTTTATCACACAGGTGGAGAATGCAACATACAGAGAGTTGCTTGCTTTGTCCAGTTGCATTCCCATAATCCTCTTGTCTTCTATTCCATCATAGCTGCACCTAATTTTATAAGGAAGGATAATATTATTAATAGCCTCTCTTGGATCAGTTCTCTTTTTCCTGCTACTACCCTCATATGCCACCGCCCAGCCCACAAGGTGATCTCTTAATCTCATCTAACTGAAGGTGGAACAGATCCTTATGCACACACACACACACACACACACACACACACACACACACACATAAACACATACCGTATTCCTAAGGAGAAAATAATGCTGTTATGTATTAAAAGATTTTACAAATAATATTGAAAGACACGTAAAAATGCACAAAACCTAAGTCTGCCATGATTTTCTCTGAATGAATGAGATCATAATAACATAACAAATAATTACTAAGAAAGAACCAAACATTATACGTACTTTTCAGGGTTGTAAACGCTCATCTCCTCCAGGAAAAGGCTGTCATTTAGGAAACCACTGTTTCCTATCCTGGCCAAGAACTTCAAGATGATTCCCTTCTCTGATCCCAGGAAAACCACAGTGTAATTCTGATATGGCCCAGCAGCAGTGTCCACCGCAATTTTGGTCAGATGGTATCTAAAATGACAAGATCACATTTGTCATGTCTTTGTTGGTCTATCATGAAAGTGTCCCCTTTTACACTTCAAACAACTGTGGCATAGCTTTCGAGTAAGAACCTCAAGAGAAATATATGCATGTAAGTAACGCTGTCAAGCTGTTCTGGTACGTTATTTTCATCTGCAGAGCATTAGTGTGGCTCCAAGGGGCGGAAGAAGGTACGTGTGTGTGGAGGTTAGATTACATAATAGACAGCCATAACCATGTGAAAGTTCTCAGCAGTTATCCTTTCCATGAGCAACAAGGAAAGACTGATGTCTTCTATGAAGAGGGGAAGAAATAAGGGAACTCATTTATCATTGAAAAGAAAAGTAATGGTTACCATGTTTTCATACTCTTCTTCTGAGGAACAAAGCCTCGTCAGCAGAATGCCCAATTAGAAAGCTTTCCTGTTGTGTGTAGAGGGACTGAGAGTTCTGAATGATGTGCAAGCCAAACAAGATCCATTTAAAGCCAAAGGTGAAGGGCATCAATCTTGTCACATGTCCAGGATAAGTCCTATCGGGCATCCTCTTGTTCTGAAATCCCTCAGCCATTCAGCACTCCATGGACACCTATTTGTCCTAAGCACCATGGCAGGAACCAGAAAACATAGGCCCTCCTGGAAGTTACATTGTTTCCATCTATGTGCAAGAGCCATTATAATATTTGAATCTCTTTCGATAAAATCAGTTTAAAAATGGTGGTAAAGTTAATTAACATCTTGTTTGATGACTGCCACAACTGTATGGTACTTGGGAAGGCCTGTTGAATTGTTTAGAAATAAGCTCTAAATAATACAAGGAGGAGTATTTAATGCTATCACAGATTTCAGATCAGCTATCCCTTCTCTGTTGGCCACCACTTCAGATAACAAATGCTGAAGAATGAATCCTTCATGCTGTTATACTTGTGCAAATACTCTGTTTGTCCGTGCTCATTTGACAGCTAACATCCCAGGCACAGTGTCCTGATGGAATCTACAGCGTGTTTGGCAACCATGCCCAGACAAATGGGTATCCATATCCATTGACTGATTCTCTTTCACTTCTCCTCTACTTTTGCATAGATTGGATTAATGGGCTAACCTGGAAAGAGGTATCTTCATTTCCTGTAATTGCTGGCATGTGTCCAATTAGCCTGAAAATACTAGCACTCATCTCACTGGTGATGTGGTTATGGGGGTTTGGTGACATCCACCCCACTGGCCAGCTGAATTTCACAGCTGAATCAATGCCCAGGATAACATAAGATATTTGTGGCAGGACATAGTTTGCATAGTCAGGCACCCACCTGACCATCGTCCTCAGGAACCACGGCCTGTTGATGATAGAAGGCACGGCCTCATCCATGAGCGGGTGCGTTTTGATGAAGCTCAGAGTATCATCAGGAAACTCATTGGAGGTTGTATATTTTTCTAAGGAGGATGAGCCAGCACAGCAACCTGGCCTAAAAGAAATAAAGGGAGAGAGCTATTTCATGCCTTTTGGAAATTCTTGGAATAAACTGCTTCTCTAAGCATCTGGCAGGAGGGAGAATGTACCATAGGCTGAAAGGAGGAAGTTGAACAATGCAGAATGCCACCAAAGAAAATGTGATTAGATTTCCTCCAGGCCGCCTTCTCATTTCATAGAGGAGCCTCAGCCAGGGCATATAAGCCTGGGCTGGGAGCAGCTTGGCTTCCCCACAGAAGCACAGGAAAATCCCATAAATAGTGAAGAAGCTTGAAACAGGTCAGGGAGTTTGTGGTTTGTATGTGTCTCAAGGACTGCTTTACCTGCCCTAAAACCCTACTAGAAGTACATGAGGCATTTGCTCTACAAAAGGAGAGAATTAAACTGACTTTCCCACAAATGTAGAAAACAAAGGCATTCAAAAAGCTACCCAACAACGTATGTACCAACAGGACTCCAAGTTACCATATCTCATTACCTTGGGGTAAGAGAACATTCAGCTTTTGCTTTTTATTGATGTTTTTGTTTTTGATTTGGGCAGGTATGAAAAGCCAATTACACTAACGATTCTGTCCTGAAAGGTCATTTCTTTATTACTGAACAATGACATGGAAATTCGTTTCTACAAGAAATTCTAGGGTTTCAGGAATCAAGGGGCATCTCAGTCAAGTCAGATCATGGAAATACTGACACCAATCCTATCCAGACACCTTGTTTGCCCGCTGGCGCGGGAGAGGAAATGGGACTCCGATAACAATGGCATGGTCTAGCCCCATGCACACACTATGTCATGGTACTAACCAGCCAGCCCTATGAAAACAAGAGGGAGGAGGCAAATATGTGGAAAGATGAGGATAAACACACTGCCATCAGTAGAAAATCACTTAAAGCGTGTTTCCTGGCGATGGCGGACACCATCTTGTACACCAGGGAGAGCATATTACAAAAGTTTCCCTGAAACCTGATCCCTTAGGCTTAATTCCCCTTCCTACTTACCCAGAAGGTAGTTAACAATTCCAGACACTGACTTAGGACATCTGAGGTTGCCAGGGTATGCTTTTTGCACCTACTCCGCTCTCTATAAGGAACAGTGCTTGTATGCATGTGCCAGATAATTCAGATGATGAAGACAGATGAACCATAGGGGTTTCTCCCTTGGGTATCATGGTCCACATTATCTAAGTCAGTTCAATTACATGAATTGGGCTAGGTATTTTGTGTGGGGGACTGAAGGTTGGAGGCGATAGTTGAAAACCAAAAAAATTATGAAGACATTGGGCTTTCTTCCATAGGTCCACAAATTCAGTGGAGAGAGCTGGGCACACAAGCATGTTTCTGTGTAACTTAGACTGCAAATGCTGTGATGTGTGCCACAAAGAGAGAGCAGGCGCAGGATTGGGGGAGTTTTCTCCTGTCCCAGTTAGAAAGAATGAATGAACTGGCGCAGTGTGAGGGTCTGTGGGCTCACATAGGACCAAGAGGGCTCTGGATTGGCTCTGGACAATAGGTTCCCCGTGAAAGCAGGTCTGGGGCGTATTTTGGGGAGAGGGTAGTCTGCACTGCATTCGGACTCTAAACAGACCAGAACTTGGCAGACCAGAGACTTCTTAATGGTCCACTGTCTCTGTTGGTCTCTTCTTGCCCTTGGCCTGGGAGTCCTGTTCCAGCCTGGTCACAAAATTCGTGGAACACATTTTATATTTCACATTTTATTAAAGTTTAAAGACATAAGTCTCTCAAAATGAAGGGAAGCAGGGAGAAGCGGTGGAAATCATCTGTCCAGCTATGGGAACTCCAACAATACAGTCTGTACCTCTCTGGGTCTCAGTTTTCTCAACTATTCACCATGGGGACTGGCTGGACCAGGTGGCTCCTATCATGCTAAGATTACACTGGACAAACCACAGGTATAGAGGTTAAGTAAGCAAAAGACTAGCGAGTCATTGTTTAAAATATAACTATAGGTAGAGCCATTGTTTTAAATGTAACTATAGGTAACTCTGGATCTTAAGTGAATGAAGGCAGATGATCTCATAGGCCTTTCTGTTGTTCCGGCATTTAAATCTGTATGGCTAGAATGGAAGGTACTGGTGTGCAGTTCACAAGTTCATTATCAGAGGAGTGAGCTGCACCATTTCTAGAAATTCCAAATAGTCATATAAATACTTGCACGTACCTGGGCTTAGGCACTCGTTCATCGGGAACTGGTGTCCAAGTAGAATCCGGAGATTTCTGTTCTTTGAATCTCCCAGTAAAAACGTTGGCGATGTCAAGCATGTCATAGGCACAAACTGCAGACCCAGGGATGCTGCAACATGACATCCCATACATGGTGTTACTCATGCGACAGGCACACACGCAGCTTGGAAAACACACTCCAAAGAAACTGTCCTCTTATGGGCAGTTGAAATTTAAAGTTCATATCCAACACACAATAAATGTAATGAATCCTAGTGCATAAAGAGAATGTTTCTGTGCATCAAATTTGCATCAGTGACCTTAAAGGACCAGTTACAGAAAGCTCATAAAGAGAAAAACTCTTCATGTCTTCATTGCTTCTGGAACCACTTTTGTTTATAAAGGAAGAATAGTTGAACTGGTGATTTAGAAGTTGAACTGGTGATTTTTAGAAGATGAAAATCTTTGGAAAATATTACGTCTCTAATATTGGTGAAAATTTGAAGTAAAAATGCTCCCACTGTCCACAGACTGCTTCTTTGAATTGGGTTCCTCAAACTAAGGACTCTGGGAGTGAGAATGTATGTGTGGGGAACTCATGAATATTTTATGTTAGTCACTGTACATTTCAGTTTTTACTGCCTGTTTATTTGCATAAGACTGAACAATTGAAGTATAAAGCACGAAAACTTTGCAAATAAAGTGCTCTATTAAGTGCTAAATAATAATAATGACTGTAATCTCTACCTATAATTACATTCTTCTGTGGCACTCCTGGAAAGACTTGGGGATTTTTTTTTTCATCAGTGGTTAGAGGCATGAATTATTCATTCATCTTGGTACGGTGTTTGAACCCATGTTTGTTTTTGACTATGGTTGTTCCTTGATTTTGATCAAATAAATTGCATACACCAGCTGGCCAAGAGTTTTCATCAGGCTTTGAGGTAGTGGCCAGCACACAGCAGGAGCACCCAGGGCGAGACGTGGCGCTCTGCACTGTGGGAACGTCATCCAGGGCGGAAAGAACGGTTTTGTCTGGATTTTGCATGTGGTGAAAGGATATGGAAGTCACTTCATAAATGATTAGGAGAACTTGATGCTATCTTTAATTTCATGACAATTATTGAAGTATTACTAGTAAACCAAGAAATCGGGAGATGATTAGAAAGCTTATTTAAAACAAGGTGGCCGGATGAATTTTAAAGTATTTTAAAATTGAAAGTAGTAAATTTTTAAAGTTATATATATGTATATGTATTGCTTATAGAATTGAGTATATAAGACAGTGATACTATTTGTTTTGAAATTTTAAAACCCTAGCATTATTTATTTAATTTTGTAAGACCCTCTTCATATCTCCCTTTCCTAAGAGTAACAGGTGAACATATTTACTTTAAATATTAAGAGAATAGGATAAATATTGAAGTATTTTATGAGGCACCTCCTAATAACTATAGACACCCTAGGATTTTTCAGTCTTACCAAGGTTAGAATCACATGTGAAATCCTTTCTTCCTTCCCTACTATACTCCCTCCCTCCTTCCTTTAATCTCTCCTTCATTCCTTTTTTCCTACCTTCTGTTCATTCAACCTATAGTTACGGAATCCCTAATCTCAAGCAGTAAATGCTCAATAAATCACAGAGTCCTACTCTCCGTTGACGCACAGTTCAGTGTGGAGGCAAATAACAGCAACAACAACGATAATGATAATAATAGCAACAACTACTCCAGGACAACCGGGTGAGACCAGTATTTAAAGAGGTATGCACAAGGTCTCATAGGAAGCGACTCACGCTCCGACTTGGAGCATCCCCAGGGTTTCTGGGGGGCAAACAGACATTGTTTGGATGGGCGAATTTGGCAGAGCACAGGGCATGAGCAAGCACGGTATGTTCAAGCCAGATCTTAGCTCCAGTAAATCCATGGAGTTGGAGGAGGAGATGGGCCAGACCATGAGGGTGCTTGCGTGCCGTGCCAGGGAACTTGAGCTTTATCCCCAGGACAAAGAGGAGTGCCTGTAGAGTTTGAAACTACCTGACAGTGACCAGGTTTGCATGAGTGGAAGATGGGGTGGAGAGGGATAAAACCAGAGGGAGTAAAACCAGAGAGTGACTATAATTTATAGATGAAAAAGGGGATGTGCATTTTTACCATTTTCTGATTTTACTGAACAAATATGTTTCTGAGACTGCATAAGCATGCATTAATTGGATGTTTCCTCGGAGCCTTTTAAGAAAATCCTTTCAATTTAAATTATTTTTCAACAAACCTAGATAGGTGGGTTCTGACGTATGAACAGTCAAGGCCTGAATTGTTATATCTCTTCTATTCTGAAGTCTAAAAATCCGCACAGATGCTTAAAGCTTACTTAAAGCTAACTGAGGGCCGGCCGAGTGGTGCAATGGTTAAGAACTTGCTTGGGATGCCAGAGGGCCCCGGTTCGGATCCCACATATGAGGGCCAGTGACACTGCCCTCTACAGCTAAGATGCTGAACAACAGCTCAACCT